CATGAACGATACTAGGTAGCACGAGTGATGATGGCAGTGTCAAGATGACCACACCGGTGCCAGCTGAGAAGTTTGTGATTGAGACGTGGTTTGTAGTTCGCAATCTGACCTGAAGGCTTGCGAGAACATTTTCTATCGCAGACAACCTCTTAGGCTGGAGGTCCTCCTCTGTGACTGTTTCATTGCAAAGACACCGAGTAATCTTGCATGATGAGCCACATGTGTGTGTGTTGGTAGTGGAGCTGATGGAGGAGAGAGGCAGGCTTCAAGACCTCGCTCCTTGTGAGAATTGTGGAAACGGGATGTGCCGAAGTAAAGCAGGGCCAAGTATGAGGGCCGGGCCTGCTGGGCTGAAAGACCCCCTCAACTCTCCTTCCAGAAACGAGGATGCTGCGACCATGCAGATCATCCGCTGGACTGCCGAGGGTTTGAAGGGGCCTTCGAGGGAACAGGCAGGGGTAGAAGAGCGTCTATGCTGGGGATTGGGTTCAGAGCTGCCGCCTGCGTTTCACACGCATGAATCGCGTCTCCGAGTCTCTTCGATCTCAGAACTCGTTTGACTTCGGTACAAATCCGCGAACTCGGCTTGCGAAAAGGACTGGTGGAGGATTCGGCATGGCTTGCCACAACTACGACGGTGACATGCTGACAGATGAAGTCGCGCAGGCTCCTGTGCACCTGATTCGGATTTGTCCAGGTGAATCACTTCTAGTGATCTTTGTGTCAGTGTCTTTGCACACCTGGAGCAGTTCCGGACTTGGCCTCAGCCTAGGGAGTGATGAATTGCAGGTGCCCAGGGCATCCCAGGGCACCAGGTCGTACCAGTAGCAAGATGTAGCAAGCAGCGTGCAAAGCAAAGTGCTCCCATAGATGGAGCCACAGCGCTTTGAAGGCGTAAGCTGCATGCAGCGCTAGACACAAACGCCCAGTCACATTGGTATTTGCAGGTCCACCGGAGCCCAGGATTCATCACGTCGATGCTTGACGGCACATGTTGGTAACAGCTGTTCATGGGCTGTGACTTTTGCTGCCATGGTTGCACTCAGTTCACTCGAAGCAGGGTTGTTTTCGCGGATGTCGCCCGAAGCGTGGCAGCAAAACGGCAGTCAACGAGACAAAGCACAGGAACTTGGTTGGCAAGAACGAGGATGGCTCTCTCATCAAGGAGTTCGAAGCCTCTCACGGCACTGCGAGTGCCCTAGCCCTTGCAAGCCAGGATGCAAGCGTGACCCGGAGTAAGGCGTAGGGGTTTCAGGTATAAGAAAGTGGAGGATGACCTGGCAAGACTTGTGGCAGAGACTTGCAGCACCGCTTCAGTTCCTGCTGGTGCACCAGGTTGCCGACTTGTGGCACATGCATCTCCGTGGAGAGGACGGGCAGGGATGATGCCGTTATTTGGAGGTCTCAGGGGGTAGATCGGAGAATTCGCTCGTCTCGTCGGCGCGTTTCTCCAGCAATCCGTGCGCATGATGCGCACTGCATGTTCGGCGACTCCACGGGGGGACTTTCTTGAAGAATGTTGGCGACATGTCACGAGGAGACCTCCATGAACCCTCTTGGCATGGTCGTCGCGCTGTCGCCTGGCACCGTTCATATAAGAATTCAACCCAGGTATCGCGGCACCTCCCGGCATCTTATTCCAAACTGGGGTGCAACAGTGCCGAGGCTGGGTGCCATGGACCATGCCGCCGCGGTGGCCTTAAATCCATAAACGTCTCTCGTGCTATTCAGGATTCAGCAAGAGCTCGACAAAAGTTCTACAAGCTCTGAGTCTTAAGTGGCTGCTCTGTGCATGGTGGACTGTTCAGCTGGGAGGTGCGGGTGCGAGTGCTTTCAATTCCTTGAGAGAGCAACCATGTGGCACTGCAGGCCCTGAATCCGGCAACCCAGGCGGAAGTAACAAAGCGCGACGCTCGGGCAGGGTCTCAGGGCGACAGGGCCTCCGCCTCAGCGAGTCGAGTGCAGAGACCACGAGGTTCACCGTGAATGTTCGCGAGGCCGTCTACGAGGCGCCTAACTAAGCTCAGTGACGTCTCGGCTACGCTACACACACGCAGAGACACGCTGGCTGTCACGCAGGCCTTCCGCACCGGCAAGGGGACACGGGACCTCACGGGACCCCAGGGCCTTACCACTGAGCAGTTCGTGGCCGCCCGGACTGTACAAAGCATTGCAACGCGTTGCATCACTTGCCTATGGACATTTTCAAATTTTCAAGCTTGCCTTGGTGTTCCTGTCGCCCTGTGTATCTATCAGACCGCTTCCTGTTCTTCCGCTAGAGCTTCACGGACTGGAGCTTTCGCCGAATGAAACGGTCAGCCTGTCCGCCAAGGACTGGGTTGCAGACAACCTCAGCAAGCGAATGGCGAAAGATGGGCCTCCTGAGGTCTTCACTGGCGATCAGGCAGAGGGTCCTAGTAGCCTCTCTGGGCAGAGCAACCTGCGAGAACTGTTCTCGCAGGTCCCGGAAGTTGCAGCACCATCGAAGAAGCTGCGCAGGAAGTACAAGGCAACTTTCGGCAACTTGAGGTTTTGGGAGCTGTGTTATACAAAGTTCACGTAGAAGGGACGGAAGCTGGATCTCCAATTCACTGGCCAGGCCGTGGACCAAGATGCCATGAAGGCTTTCTTCGACAAGTTCGACACCGATGCGAACGGCACCATCTCCTTCGAAGAGCGGCTTGGGCGAATTTCTTTATGGTTTTCCAGATCTTTCAAGCACCTTCCGAACATTACGTGTGCCCTCATCTTGCATTATATCTGGAGTCTTCCGTGCTAACAGTTCTGTGAGTCCCATGCACTCCTTTTTGCTGGGAGGTTTGTGGACATGACGCTTGATCTGGGCATTGCGCCTCTGAAACCAGAAGAGCTGGCGAAGGAGGCGGAACGCTGCTCGGCGAGGAAGCAAGACTTTCGATACGTGGTCCGTGGAACATACCTGGCTGCACGTCAAACTTCGCTTCAAGAGCTGAATCACGCGAAGAATCGGCAATTCCGCCTGACCTGCCATTCTCCAGCATCTCAGGTGACGAGAATCACGCTGAGTCCGAGCGGGTTTGAATGCAAGCGCTCGATTGCCACCTCTGACGTTTCGAGCAAGTGCAATGTAAAGCAGTCTGATACGAAGAATACGCCGATGGGGTAGGCCGACTAGGATGCGAGGCCAAAAGGGAGGGAGGGCGAAGGGAGAACGAAGACGACGATCATGCAAACAGAAGCGGAAGCACTAGCAGCTGCGACGACATGGTAGTGGTGCCAATGGTGGTGTTGCAGCAGCCCGCGGCATCAACGGCAACTTCGACTGCGACTGCTGGCTGACTGCAGCTGCGGCAGCAGCAGCAAACCAGCAGCAGCACCAGCAACATGAACCAGGAGAAGAAGGAGAGTAAACAAGCAGAATAGCAATAATAACACGAATACTAAAAACAGCAAAAACAGCAGCGGTGACAATAGTAACAATAACAGATAATAGTAGTACGAAAGCTCAGACAGAAGTAATAACAAGAAGAGGGACAGAACGGCGAAGAAGACGCATAAGTTTATGAATAAGAGAACACGAATAAACGAAGAGCAATCTGAAGAATCCTACGAATAGCAAGAGTAGTACTATTTAAGAACAGACGGCTAGGAATACAAATGCTAGTTACCAATAACGAGAAAGCGAAGACGAATGAACAAACCGAATAGCTGTAATAACAGTACTAATGGTACACATAACAAAATTACAAGAAGAAGACTAGTAGTACTGAGAAGAATAGTAACCGGAGTCATACACATAATAGTCATAAGAAGAAGAGGAAGACGACGACGAACAGCTGCAACAGCAACAACCACAACCACAGCCACAACCACGACCACAACGACAACGACAACCACGACCACGACGACGAGTGCAGCAACAACTCCAATGCAAACGCAACTGCAGCTACAACTGCAAGAAGAAAAGCGACAGCGACAGCGACCTCGGAGCAGGAGGAGGAGGAGGAGGAGGAGGAGCAGGAGGAGGAGGAGGAGGAGCAGGAGGAGGAGGAGGAGGAGGACCCCGATGACGACTACCAGGATTGCCTTGTCACGACCGCACTCCGAGGTGCTTGCAGGAGGGCGACGATGACGACGACCACGATTGAAAACAATTCCGACGACGTCATGCAAGGGAGCGAGGACGAGAAGGACGACGACGACGAGCAGCGGGCTATCGTGGCTTAGTGAATCACCTGTGATTCACTGTGACGACGGCGGCAGCAACGACCATGAACAGTAAGTGCACCCTCGAATCGAATGGTGCTGCACGGTGTTGATAAGAGTAAAACTAGTTTGCTCTGCAGCTTTTCAGAGGAGGACGAGCTGATATATTGCTGTAGGCCGACATTGCCCTGCACGGAGTTTCCGTACGGGGCGATGGAAAGGCAGAGCCATCGTTCGTCATCGCAGCATGGGCTCGCTTGCGGCAGTCATTAAGTCTGTCAGAGCCGAAGCAGATGCCATGATGCGGGTAGAGGTGGTGCAGCCCATCATCCAAGTTGCTGCTAACGTTGCATGCTACTGATTCGTCGTGCAGGTGAGACAGTGTGACACAAGGGTACTAGCACAGCCCGTGGTTTTCATCCCAAGCGTACCACCAGGGTGAGCCGGGCGCAGGAACTGTGATGAGGCCACGGCCTGTGAAGCCTGCTTTTCCAATGGTTCTGCCTTCTCTACCGACAGAATCGTTATGATTCACCCATTGCATCCATGTGCAAAACTGTAAGATTTGTTTTGAATTCGTCCGTGATTGCACGGACTCCAAGATCGATTGACATGAGACGAGAAAAGCATGTGACGCGCCTGCTTACCCCTTTCTGAAGGGTTTACGACCGAAGAATTACTAAACATACATATATTCCATATTGGCCGTTGGAGTCACAGAGAGGACGGGTTGAGGCACTGGCAGATGTTCAGTTCAACAGCATCTCAGCCTGCGAAGGTTCGGTTCGGGTTGGCAAAACTTAAGATTGGGACAAATGAGACTGCAAACGAATGAGTGGCAGCTTGAGCGGTCAGAGTGCGTTCACCTCGCTGCGACCTTCCCTGCGCAGATCTTGAGTGAGCTGCCCCCTCACGAGAACATCATCCGCTGCTTCGGATTTTCCATCGACGCTCCACAGCGTTCAGGCGGGTGGAGCGTCCAGGTTCCAAGGCCTTAGGTGAGCCGAAAGCGCCGCTCTTTGGTTTTTCAGGCGGCAGCGGCATGGTGAAGCTTCTGCTGGAGCTTTGCAACGGCCATCTTTTGGACTTCCAGGCCGGCCCGGCCAGCGAAGTGCCGTGAAGAATGGCGAAACTCAAGAAATCCTGCCTTAAAGGGTGGTGGCAGCCGTTTCGATCAGGTTTCGTCGAGTCAGCACTTACTGATGTTGTCTTGATGACTCGTGGCGTTGCGATTCCGCAAGCCTATGCCTCTAGCTGCAAAGGACTCCAAAGGTGGAAAGTTGTCGCCCAAGGACATGGGCACCCCTTCCGCGGGTTGGAAATGGTAGTCGCCAAGCATGGAACATTTCCAGCTTCGACCTTCGAGATCACTACAGTGTTCAGTCTCGCGCTGGGTGGTATTCCTTAAGTTACTCCTCTTAGCCAAAGGCCCCGTTCGTCCCTTTGCTCTCGCAACCTCAATGCTCTAGCATCAGCATGTGTGCTAACTGGCAAAGCCAAAACTCCCACTTCTGCAGTCTCCGGTCGAGAGGAGATGATGGACCCCTTTGTGCAGGTGGCCGAAGCGGCAAGGGACCGAGCACGCTTTGAGATGCAGGGGGTGTCGGACAAGCCGGCGAAGCAGTCGTTTCGATTACTGCGTATTTCAGAAGCGCAGAGAGGGGCAGCGCTGCATCAAAATTCCACCATGAGGTCCGACATCTGCATGCACAGCGGCGGGGCACCGAGGGCCCAAGCGATCTTGTGTCAAAACCTCTGCGGGCTGCTAGAGCAAAGGCAGTCGGTTTTCTGAGACCGAGGCCCCCAATACAGCATCGTGACCTGAAGGTCGAGAACATTCTTCAGGCATGAGAGAGAGCCATAGGATAGACAACAAGTTCGGTTTAAGTTCCTGCCTCTGCAGGGCAGTGACGGGAACTGGAAGCTCTGCGATTTCGGTTCTTGCAGTGCTCCGTTGCTCTGGACAGGGCTGCATGTGCTCTCAGAGTAATCTCAACGGTCTTCATTGAGTCGAGTTGACTCAATCTGTGACACAAGCCCCAAAGAGCCCCAGTCAGTAGGTGAGGAACTTCCCATTCTTGTGGTGCTTTGGTCGAGGTACAGCCTGTGTTCCAGGTCACGAGCTTCCGAGGGGCGAGCTCCAACGGCTCCAGGCAAAGGGACGGGAATCTGCCTCGACTCGAAGACTGCTTTTCCTGGGCTTAGGGCTTTGTGTGGGATGCAGATGTCATGGTTTTGCGCAATTGGTTTTCTCAGGGTCGGCCAGTATCTGGAGGGCAAAAGGCGGTCTTCCTAGGCATTGGTAACTGCGCCGATCGAGCCTCAAGAGAATCCTTTCCCGCATGAGGACATGAGGTGTTGCATTTCTACTTACGGTTGCCGAGGAGGAAATCGACAAGACCGTGACCATGCTGTACAGGCGCTGACTTCTTTTGCCATACGACGGGCTGATGTGCTCTGTGTGCTGCTCCGCTCGGAGCTTGCATCAATGCAGCTACCATTGTGAGGCCCCCCGAAATGGCGGACGTACAGCTGAACTACCGGAAGGCACTCGGCTATGACGAGATGCGCTGACAGTCGGCCACGCTGTTGGTGCAGAGCGGTATGAATGCAGTACCAAGAGGTGTCAAGCACAGAACCCTGCCATGTCGAACCGTATGTCAAGTCAAGCCGGCTCCCACAGCACATTCAGCATTAGCAGGAATGTGTAGCTCAGGATCTTCTGGAGGGGGGGGTTGAAACGGTGTGTGCAGGGCTATACCATTACCGAGCAAGTCGACATCTGGATGCTGGGCACCTAAAGTTGTGAAGGCAATGTCTCGCAAACCCGGTGCTGCTGGTAGCATCTCGCGATCAGGCTGGGCTGCATCCTGTATACCCTTGCTTTCTACCGGCATCCCTTCCAGGCTCGGAGTCGGGCGCGCAGCAGCGCAGCACAGCTTTGGAAAGCATCTGAGCCCCTTTCTGTGCGATGAGTTTCGAGTCCCATCAGCATCTTTGGCTCAGTGATTTGGTCTGTCTGAGCCTACGGATGGCTGCCACATGCTGCCAGCATCCGGTGGCACATGTCCTGCAGCGCCAGGATAATGCTACACCCATGGCGATATGGAATGCCAAGTACTTCATTCCCTCGGAGCATCCAATGGCTAGGACCGCCTGAGCAAATAAAACTCTGTTACATTGAGTGCTCCATCCTTCTTGAAGCCTTTGTTTGGAGGAGCGCGAAACTCTGCGCTCTGATCCACTGGCTGCTGGCGGCAGACCCAAAGGCCGGGGCCACATATATATATATATATATATATATATATATATATATATATGGTCAGGCGTCTGGCGTTCCCAGCCCCCCCCCCCCCCTGGTATGGTCTGTGTGCGGAAAGGGGTTGGGGCCGTTGGAGCTGCCACTGGATGGTGGGGTGGTGCTGGCGGCCAGGGCTCACGCGCAAGCCCTTCGCAAGCAAGCCGTAAACCCTATAACGCAGCGCGTGCCCCTTTTTTGAGCAACCATCACTTGTACTTAAAACGCTACACCCAACCCTAAACCCCACCTAACTGCAGGCTCTAAGCCTAAAGCAGAGCATACACCGCAAATCCTCCCTAAGCCCTTGTCGATTCGAAGCCTTACACCTTGTAATCCCCTCCCCCTAATATTAAAGGGTCGGGGCCCCCCCCCCCCTTCGCCCTAAATAAAAACTCGAAAATGTTTTTATAATTAGGGGGGTGTTGTTATCTCAATTCCTAGAAACACAGGTTCTACAAGTAATTAAATGATGAAAATGATGACGATGAAAATGATGATGACGATTACGGTGATGCTTGTTATGATGAAGATGGCGGTAGTGGTGGTGATGGTAATGATGACGATGATCATGGTCCAAGAGAAGAACATGATGATGATGAAGAACATGATGATGATGTTGTTGTTGATGATAGCAATGCTTCATGGTTGCACAAGTGCAGAAGAGCACATGTGGCAACCTGCAGGTTCAACCTCTGCAACCTGCTGCTTCAACCTCTGCAACCTGCAGGTTCAACCTCTGCAACCTCTGCAACCTCTGCAACCTGCTGCTTCAACCTCTGCAACCTGCTGCTTCAACCTCTGCAACCTGCTGGTTCAGCCTCTGCAACCTGCTGGCTCAACCTCTGCAACCTGCTGCTTCAACCTCTGCAACCTGCTGCTTCAACCTCTGCAACCTGCTGGCTCAACCTCTGCAACCTGCTGGTTCAACCTCTGCAACCTGCCCCACGAAAGCCGGATGTGCACCCAGTCCCCTCCAGAGAGCCCCCAGAGAGCCCAAAGCTTCAGGCCACCCCAAAATCTCGATTCCGGGTGGGGAAAGGGCCCAAACGACGCCCCTGGGGATTGAGCCCAGGGGCGTTTGCCAAGAAGGCTTTGAAGCCGGACACATACCCATTAGGCCATGGCCAGATAGTGTTTGGCAAGGTTGCGCACCTCGCTATGAGTTTTGGGAGAGGTCGCAGGCCCAATTCTTGCGGTGTCATTTTGGGCCCTTTCCCCATCCAGAATCGAAATGTTGAAATGACCAAAAGCGCCAAGAGAGCACAACCACACCCGCCCAAAACCGCGCAAACCCACCAAACCTCTGCAACCTGCTGGTTCAACCTCTGCAACCTGCTGGTTCAACCTCTGCAACCTGCTGGTTCAACCTCTGCAACCTGCTGGTTCAACCTGTGCAACCTGCTGGTTCAACCTGTGCAACTGCTGCTTCAACCTCTGCAACCTGCAGGTTCAACCTGCTGGTTCAATCTGCAAATTGCTGGTTCAACCTCTGCAACCTGCTGGTTAAACCTCTGCAACTTGCTGTGGATCAACCTCTGCAACCTGCTGGTTCAACCTGTGCAACCTGCTGGTTCAACCTCTGCAACCTGCTGCTTCAACCTCTGCAACCTGCAGCTTCAACCTCTGCAACCTGCAGGTTCAACCTCTGCAACCTGCTGCTTCAACCTCTGCAACCTGCAGGTTCAACCTGCTGGTTCAACCTGTGCAACCTGCTGGTTCAACCTCTGCAACCTGCTGCTTCATGCTGCTTCAACCTGTGCAACTTCAACCTCTGCAACCTGCTGCTTCAACCTCCGCAACCTGCAGCTTCAACCTCTGCAACCTGCAGGTTCAACCTCTGCAACCTGCTGGTTCAACCTCTGCAACCTGCTGCTTCAACCTCTGCAACCTGCAGGTTCAACCTGCTGGTTCAACCTCTGCAAATTGCTGGTTCAACCTCTGCAACCTGCTGGTTAAACCTCTGCAACTTGCTGCGGTTCAACCTCTGCAACCTGCTGGTTCAACCCTGCAACCTGCAGGTTCAACCTCTGCAACCTGCTGCTTCAACCTCTGCAACCTGCAGGTTCAACCTCTGCAATCTGCAGGTTCAACCTGTGCAACCTGCTGCTTCAACCTCTGCCTCTGCAACCTGCTGGTTCAACCTCTGCAACCTGCTGGTTCAACCTGTGCAACCTGCTGTGGTTCAACCTCTGCAACCTGCTGCTTCAACCTCTGCAACCTGCTGCTTCAACCTCTGCAACCTGCTGGTTCAACCTGTGCAACCTGCTGGTTCAACCTGTGCAACCTGCTGCTTCAACCTCTGCAACCTGCTGCTTCAACCTCTGCAACCTGCTGGTTCAACCTCTGCAACCTGGTGGTTCAACCTCTGCAACCTGCCCCACGAAAGCCGGATGTGCACCCAGTCCGCTCTAGAGAGTCCCCGGAGAGCCCAAAGCTTCAGGCCACCCCAAAATCTCGATTCCGGGTGGGGAAAGGGCCTAAATGACGCCCCCGGGGATTGAGCCCACGAATTTTGCCAAGAAGGCTTTAGAGCCGGACACTTACCCATTAGGCCATTGCCAGATAGTTTTGCGAAAGGTTGCGCACCTTGATAGTAGTTTTGGGAGAGGTCGCAGGCCCAATTCTTGCGGTGTCATTTTGGGCCCTTTCCCCATCCAGAATCGAAATGTTGAAATGACCAAAAGCGCCAAGAGAGCACAACCACACCCGCCCAAAACCGCGCAAGCCCACCAAACCTCTGGAACATGCAGGTTCAACCTCTGCAACCTGCAGGTTCAACCTCTGCAACCTGCTGGTTCAACCTCTGCAACCTGCTGGTTCAACCTGTGCAACCTGCTGGTTCAACCTGTGCAACCTGCTGCTTCAACCTCTGCAACCTGCAGCTTCAACCTCTGCAACCTGCAGGTTCAACCTCTGCAACCTGCTGCTTCAACCTCTGCAACCTGCAGGTTCAACCTCTGCAACCTGCAGGTTCAACCTGTGCAACCTGCTGCTTCAACCTCTGCCTCTGCAACCTGCTGGTTCAACCTCTGCAACCTGCTGGTTCAACCTGTGCAACCTGCTGTGGTTCAACCTCTGCAACCTGCTGCTTCAACCTCTGCAACCTGCTGCTTCAACCTCTGCAACCTGCTGGTTCAACCTCTGCAACCTGCTGGCTCAACCTCTGCAACCTGCTGCTTCAACCTCTGCAACCTGCTGGTTCAACCTCTGCAACCTGCAGGTTCAACCTCTGCAACCTGCTGGTTCAACCTCTGCAACCTGCTGGTTCAACCTGTGCAACCTGCTGGTTCAACCTGTGCAACCTACTGCTTCAACCTCTGCAACCTGCTGCTTCAACCTCTGCAACCTGCTGGTTCAACCTCTGCCTCTGCAACCTGCTGGTTCAACCTCTGCAACCTGCTGGTTCAACCTCTGCAACCTGCTGTGGTTCAACCTCTGCAACCTGCTGCTTCAACCTCTGCAACCTGCTGCTTCAATCTCTGCAACCTGCTGGTTCAACCTCTGCAACCTGCTGGTTCAACCTCTCTGCAACCTGCTGGTTCAACCTCTGCAACCTGTTGCTTCAACCTCTGCAACCTGCAGCTTCGACCTCTGCAACCTGCTGGTTCAACCTCTGCAACCTGCTGGTTCCACCTCTGCAACCTGCTGGTTCAACCTCTGCAACCTGCTGGTTCAACCTCTGCAACCTGCTGTTGATGTTGGGAACTTGCACCGGGGAGGGTTTTGGTGGGTTTGCGCGGTTTTCGGCGGGTTTGGTTGTGCTCTTGGCGGTTTTTGGTCATTTCAAATTTCGATTCTGGATGGGGAAAGGGCCCACGGGGACACCGCCAGAATTGGGCCTGCGACCGTGCCCAAATCCCCTAGGGAGGCAGCCGCCAGCCCCCAGAACTATCTGGCCATGGCCTAATGGGTAAACGTCTGCCTCCAAAGCCCTCCTCGCAAAGGCTGCGGGCTCAATCCCCGGGGGTGTCATTTGGGCCCTTTCCCCACCCGGAATCGAGATTTTGGGGTGACCTGAAGCTCTGGGCTCTCTGGAGACTTAAGAAACGCTATTATAAGGGCTGCAAATCACACCAAATCCGTGCAAATGCCGTGCAAATGCACACTAAATCCGTGCAAAGACATACGAAATTCGTGCTAATACACACGAAATGCGTGCAAATACACACCAAATCCATGCAAATACACACTGAATCCGTGCAAATACACGCCGAATCCATGCAAACACACACTAAATCCGTGTAAAGACACACACACTAAATCCCTCTAACTACACACCAGGCACACAGTAAATGCGTGCAAATACACACGGAATCTGTGCAAATACACACACTACATCCCTGTAATTAGACACCAAATACTGCGTGCAAATACTCACGATCCGTGCAAATCCATGCAAATACACACTAAATTCGTGCAACTACACAGGACGTGAGTGCAAATACACACCAAATCCGTGCAAATACACACGGAATCCGTGCAAATACATCTAAATCCGTGAATCCGTGCAAATACATACTAAATCCGTGCAAATACACACTGAATCCGTGCAAATACACACTAAATCCGTGCAAACACACAAATCCGTGCAAATACACACTAAATCCGTAAATACGCATTAAAAAAATAGGCTTCAATAAAGGCTTGGCTAATAAAGCTTTTCATGCGGCTCAATTGAGCAGTTGCTGACTCATGCAATTATAATTCTTCCCCCTAAACCCTCAATCTATAGACCCTAAACCTTCCCCTTAATTCAAATTAGGGTTTAAAGGGCGGTGCTACTTCCGGGTGGATCGGGGGAAAAGTGTTTTTATAATTAGGGGGTCCTTTAATAAAAGGGGGAGGGGATTAACCGTAAACCCAAAACTCAAAAGCTTAAGCTAAACCCTAAACCCTCAAACCCCACAACCACCCCACAGGGGGAAGAGGAACCCCACACCCCACACCACAGGGCAGGGGGGGTCCCCACCCTATATCTGGACCATTGACCTTTGGGGGGGGAGGGGGGGGGGGCTGCGGAGCGCGTGACCATATATATGTATATAATGTATGTATGTATGTATATATATATATATATATATATGGAACACAGATGGCCATGTGCAGCGGATGGTGATGACAGAGTTTTACTTGTTTTTTCAGGAACAACTGAGGGTTGACGTTGGGCTGTTTGGGGGGTCTGGAGTCCGCAGCGGTCTGCTTGACAACTTTTGGCCAGGGGACTGTTGAACACAATCCTTCACTGCGGTCAGTTCAGAACCCGCGAAAACAACCTACAAAGCCCAGTGCTTCAAAGCTCCAAGGTCCGAACCACAAACATCACAAACTAACTAGAGCTTCTTCCAGGACCGGCCCACAGCACCGCGGGTGCTGGAGGCGGGCGACTCGTTCAAAGCCCTCGCGGGGCTCTCGTGAGGAGGGTATCCAGCTTGTGGAAGTGCTGGTGCGTTGCATCTCTGGACTCTGGATATACGCATGTGCCGGGACATGTGTTTGAGGATTCATGCTTATCGCTCGAGGCTTGTTGGATCAGTCATGTCGTGAAAACAGTCGACAACGTTGACGCACACTCCGTCTAACGGTTCAACGAAGAGCTCGAAGCTGAAATGTCTGTGTTGCAGTCACAGTACAGGAAATTACAGCTTCAGCATGTGGAAGAGCAGAGTGTGCTTTGAAGAGCTACAGTTCTGTCACACGAGCCAGAATGAGACCTCGTTGTGTGGCAGGCTTGCAAGGCAATTGGCAAGAGCGAGTACGACGAGTTTGTCGGGCTGCTTGGCCCAATTGGTAAGGACGTGGTACATGTACTGAAATGCCCAAAGACGCCCAAAGACGGCCCAGAGTCTCAGCCGGAAGACGAAGTGAATCTAAGCCGACAGTTGCCCGGACAAAAGCAAACAAAAGCGCACTGGAGCACCTCAGCTTAAAGTCGATCTACCAGAGGGCTGCTTTTCCCATTGTCTGTGCATCTTTCCTTCCGGAGCGTGCCAGAGCCAGCTTGGAGATGCCCTTCAGCTGCCAGGCAGATGCCTGCCAGCGTCCGGTGCACCCGGCCCGTTTGTGCTTTTGTTGCAATTTCTTGCAGGTTTGATTCCGTCCACAGAAGCATTGGATCTTGTCCAGACCGTAAGCCCGCCAACTCTCCGATACCTTTGGCAGGGAGAGAATCCTGCAGCACGATCGCATCTACGGTGCTAGGCCGGGCGGTGTCCTGGGGGCCTGTGAGGGGTTGCCAGAAACATGCTGGTTGCGAATGGGGAATTCGACAAGGAGTACCAAAGAGCCTCCGAAAGAGTGGGTGTCTGCCTCAGAACGTTGGGAAGGGCGTTAGAGATCGTTAGTCAGACTGATGCGCCACATTTGGAACGGCCGGAGCAGAAACGCCGAGAAGCTTTGCAACACGTGAGCCGGGAGGTGGTCTGATTCGGATTTGCATACCCATGCGGATTCTCGTGGCCGAGGATTTGAAAAACCTTCAGTCAGCTGCTGCTGCAGCCTTGCACCGAGATTTTTGAACTCCAGACCTGGAAGTGGCTGCATCTTTGTCGCCTTTTCTTGTGGACTCAAGGACACTAGGAGCTAAAGGGCCCCACCGCATGGCGGCCCTGAACCCTAAACCCTCAACTCTAAACCCTCAGCCCTAAACCCTCAACCCCAAACCCTATAAACCCTAAACCCTATAAACCCTAAACCCTATAAACCCTATAAACCCTATAAACCCTAAACCCTATAAACCCTAAACCCTAGCTCTCCAAGGTGGCAGCGAGCCACAGCAGCGGTCACAGCAACGGCAAAGTCCGCGAGAATCCGGGGGGGCCACAGCCTCAGAGCCTCAAAGCCTCGCCTTAAGGTACTCTTTTAGTATTAAGACTATAACGCCATAATACTATAATACTATAATACTAGAATATATCAATAGTGCTATAAGAATAATAATAATAATAGTACTATAATACTATAATACTAAACTAACAACACTAATAATAAGAATAATAAGAAGAAGAATGCACCTAACAAGTCGCACCGTAGGCTCCTGTTTCTACCAGGGCTTGCACGCGTGCCATGTGAGGGGAAGTTTCACAGCTGCACCTCCCCCCATCTACTTCCAAAGTTTTTGTGCACATGCAAAGGCATCTCTTTGAACTCAGCCCTCTTTCATCTTGGGGCTCTGAGGTTTGATGTTCGGTTTGCGCTGTCGCCGGAGACAAACGGAAGTGCAGGCTCCGCCCAGTTTGTTGTGAGCTCCTTGTACAACCCTCCGCCTTCTCTCAAAGCAGGCTATGCGCAGAGCTCTCAAAGAGGGCAGCGTCAGGTTGGCGGGGACTGGGGAACGGGCGCACGTGCAAGGCTATGGCAGTTTCTGTTGCTAGGTTGTTACCAAGGAGCTGATTTGATTTGTGTAATGTTGCTGCTGCGAGGCAAAAGAGTTGCATGATAAACGACGTGACGGGATGAGCGATCATTGCGATGTGTCCTATGGTCGCTACATTGCTACACCCTGATGCTCTGCAGGTTGGTGTTCCGAGTCTGGAATGCAGCGTCCAGTGGTAGTAAAATGTCCGTCCCTCCAGTCGGTGCACGTGACCCGACGCTTCCACCATTACAGGCTGCTGCGAATCCTCCAAGTCCGAGACCCCAGTTGTGCGATGTTCGGCTTCTTTGGGAAGCATCTTCGGTCCAGTCTTGAGGATGTTCCAGCTTCGCTTGGCTGATGGGTCAGTGTGTTCTCCACAGCCGTCGAACCACCACACAGCAGAAGTAATGGGCACTTAGTTACTCCATTTTGTGCCAGACTCTGATCTTTGGACCAGCATCGTCTGAACAGAATTGCAGCAAAACAAGGCCTGCAAGAGGATCTGCTATCCCTCGATGCTGGATCTCACCAGCCAGGCCGTTTGTTCATTTGCCAAGATCTTCTCTTATCTTTGTTTTGTGGATCCGCGCTGCAAGCTCTCAGTGTCACTCTGCGGCACCCGTGCAGAGTCTGCGAAAATCAAGGGCCACGGCTGCCAGCGCGTGCCAGTCCAGTGTTAGAGTCCTTTAAGCCCTGCAGGCCTTCACCAGGCCGCCTCCACTCCGGCCCTGGACGACCTGATCGCCCTGGGCCCGGCGACGCCGCAGGGGCCCTCGTGGAATCTGGAGCTTCAGCTTTGGGGTGGGGTTGCGGGTTCATATATGGGTTCATCTCGAGGAGCAGCTTGCGCGTACCTGTAGCCGAGGTCCCGGGCGAAGAGCGCCCCGGCAGTGGCGATGCCGGAAGCAGGCTCGAACTTCACAACGCCTTGCACGTCTATGACTTGCATTCAAGTTCGCGTCTCCATCAATCTCCTTGTCAATGACTCTATGTATGTCTTTATGTGAATGTCACGATAAGGACATGCAGGCATGCGCACAGGCAGGCAGACAGACAGGCGTGCTGCTTCTGTACACGACGTGTGCATAATTGTGCATACAATCATTACACAGCCCATACATCCATGTATGCACTGATGCATGTCTACATGCACGTACAGATGACACGGATGGCTGGCATGTCCAGAATGTCATCCAGAAGTTGCATCGCGCGGGTAACGCCGCGATGCTCGCAAAGCCCTCGGACTACTCCGTAAGCTGTGCCAATGACCTAGTCTCCACAGTCATACCAGTCTTGCTCTGCCACTGGCAGCACAGTCTGAACGTTAACCAGTTGACAGGGGCCGGTCAGAACCTCCTTGCTTTCGCAGACTTCAGCAGCATGCCGCAGCAGGCGGACCGAGTGCTGCATCGACGTCTAATCAGCCATAGACTTCCGCAGGAGCTCGCATGGATAAGCTTTCAAGCAGCTGGCATGCGCGTGTGAGGCCCAGCCGATGCCTACCGCGTCGACTGCAGGACCGGCCACAGAGCGAAATCAGTTTGGGAGCCCATCATGATGACCTATCGCAATGAGAGCATTCGACGGGAAATAAGCGTGTCAAGTGTATATGCGTGCGTCTCTCTCTGTGTGTGTCTTCCCATGTGGGGGCACAGGATTCGCTGCGCCTGCAGCTCCCTTGGCTGCGAAGCCTTGGCTTGTTGATCGGCTATTGGACGTGGACTGCCGGGAAGGACTTGAATTATGATTTTGATTCACTATTGTTACTATTAAGGTTATTATTATTATTACTATTCTTATTATTATTGTTATTACTATTATTATCATTACTGTTATCATCTCTGCACTCGCGAGCGCTGGCCGGGGGAACCTGTGTGCCAGGCCCAGCTTCGCGGATTTCGGCGCCGCGCAGACCTTTGACGAGCCTCAGCCGATCTCAGCTGCAAGCATAAGCTATGAGGGGCTCGAGGTGTTATGGGAGGTTAGGGGCCTTAAGAATTTCTATTACTAATTAGAATGGGCTTTTGAGGCCCATTGTACTACAATTATAATAAAGAACCCCCAATATAGTGAAGATAGTTATTAAAGCTTGGGTTAATAATCAGAAAAGGCTCTTGGGGCCCATTATACTACAATTACGACAAGAAACCTCTCAAAATAGTATAGGTAGTTATTTTTCCCTAGCTGGCCTTTCTGAGGCCTTCGCGCCGGCGCCGGCGGCAAAGGCACCCGCTGCGGCTCCGCGGCCAGGCTCCGGGCCTTCGGCCAGAGCCTCGGAAGGGACATTCTCGCAGTTTACTTGAATTATGATTTTGATTCACTATTGTTACTATTAAGGTTATTATTATTCTTAGTATTATTATTAGTATTATTAGTATTATTAGTATTATCAGTATTATTATTATTATTACTATTATTATCATTACTGTTATCATTATTGATTGGTATTGTTGCTTTTAATCTCTTTGGGCTCCTTGAAAGGCTTTCATGAGGCTTGTAACAGCCAAGTGCAGCTGCCAAGAGCATGATCAGCCCGGCTTGGGGGCTGCTGGAGCTCCAATTCCGAGGCAGACCTGCTTGACTTACTGTGAGCTGAGCAGTTGGCCAAGCATGACCTGGAGTCTCTCAGATCGAATTCAGCCTAGGCCTAAAGAGTGCACTCTGCTTCCGGTGCAGTGACTCCCTGGTTGAGCACTTTCCTAGACAGATGCGTGCCAAGCACCTTCTGTGAAAGACAGGTCCGGCTCGAGGCCCCCATGGGGTGTTTAAGCTCAAGCGCATTGGCTCCTCGAGAATCGAGAACCTTCAGGACTCTCCCTCCTCATCACCAGAGAATCGCTTGGGATCAACTTTGCTTCAACACTCGGGGCTCAAAGAGTTCCAAAACACTTGCGCATGCCACATGAGCATCGCCCTGCTGTCTTCAGAGCCAGTGCTGATAGAAGCGCAGACGAAGAGAAGCTGATTTGTTCATTCTCCAAGGCTTTGTGGGCTACAGCAGGATCCCCCATCGCGTCGACGGACAAAATAGAACGGTGGCACCTCTTGCAGGGTGGCGCATTCTTTGTGAGAGCCTTCCACTTTCGTCACGGGAATTGGCAGATAAGTTTGGCGCTGTGTCGTGCGGAGCTGGAGACTGCGTCCCATGTTCACTACCCGATGACAGCAGGTGGAAGGTTCGTAACGTTTCAGAGTAGGATTTGGAGGAACATTGCGGTTTCCAACAGGAAGGATGGGCTCAAACTATACAACTTTATGTCATGCGACGGACGTAGAAATGCATAGCATCAAACAGCCTCATTGAATTCGCTGTGAGCTCATCATGGCTGCACAGCGGGGGACATGACATTTGGGATCCTCTTGTTACGCACATCACCGACTAAGAAGAAGCTCCGGAATGCACTACCGGCCCAGGCCAGAAATGCCTTTCAGCCAACTGGGTTGTCGATAACGCCAACGTTCAGGACGCCTTTATTCTGGATTGTACTCTTATCAGTAATCAGCTCAACGGGGGCAACACAGACGGAGGGAGGTCGCAGGGCATTTGCTTGAAATCATTTGGGGAGAAAGCCCAGGCCACAGTCAGCCACCTGGTCTTTGCGGGGAGCATGTTCACGACTGTGCGACCTCTTTGTCCTCTCATGGTGTGAACACTCTTGGTTACAGTACTCTTGGGCCCACAGGAAGAAAGAGGCTCAAGAAATGAATTGCAGGCAGGACCAAACTGAGACATGCCACAGCTCAACCTTGCTGCGTGACGGCAATTGCTGGGATGCGTGCACCCTACATCCCGGATTGATCTGGTTTTAGGTGCAGGAAGACTGCGATTTCCGAGCCGGGCATATGCCACATTGTGCATCATGCCCTGCACTGTGCATGGCGGACGCTGCACATCCCGCTGTCATTCCGAGTTTTCTCTGGGTATTATTTTTCTGACTATCAGCACGAGCACGAGCGCGCCAAGAACGTGAAACCGACAGACCACGAGCACGAGGTGCACGCACGAGGAATCCAACGAGGCTCTGCAACACGGATGCAAACTACATGCAGTTGAATGTCTAAATGTAGTCTGTGAAGCGAAATATCTGCAAAGACAAATACTTTCAACAGCACATCCTATGATTTGAAGCTTTCTTTGCACTTGGAAAACATAATCCTCATGCCGAGACCTTGCGCGGAAATGTCACAAAGAGAGACATACTTGTGTGAATCGTGTCACGTTCTTCCAAGGTCGTAGCACACAAGCTACTTTTTCTGACTTTCACGAGGCACCTCTTCCAAGCAGTCACATCGGCCTACGGCCTACGTCGGGAAAGCCCCGGAGTCTGGTTCACATGTCTATGAGGCACAGGCTTCCACAACACTGGTTCTGCGTATCATTTGCATCGGCGTTTTGTGTTTGCATTTCGCATGTTGCTCTCGCACCGCCCCTCTCAGCTTGTATGGTGCGATGAGGCCTTCACATGCCTAAACTCTGAAGAGCATGGGGCTCGGACTTGACTACGATCAACAGCCTGGGACTTGCTCTCAACTCCGCCTCCATGTTCGGTCAAACTCGCACTGATCGGCACTGTCCAAACAATTCTTGCCCAGCCGGGCAACTGAATTGATCAAGTCGCCATCTTGTCGTTTTGCATCGCCCCATGCAAGCTCCTTTTTCGAGCCACTGGGGATGCCAGTGTCCTGCAGCGATCGACCGCCGCTGCAAGCTTTTCGCGAGTGTGGCGTGGGCTGAGCTGCTGCAGCAAGCTGACAGCTTCACAACACGCCCGATGATGTCGATGGCCGTGCGGCACGAGTCACAGCCTTGGTGCATATCAGGGAGCTCGTCGCAGCTGAGCCCTCGTCGCCCAGCCGCTCCAGGCACAGACGACGCCAGCTGTCATCGGGATTCCAGCCTGATGAGCCCTGTCCTTTTCCACTGCCGGCCTTTGATGCTTGTCTACGGTCGGCTCGGCGGGGAGCCGCTGCTGCACCGTCCGGCCGCTCAAACGAGAATGTTCGCATTTGGTTTGACGAAGAAGGCGACACACAACTCCTGCACCGTGTTGCTCGCCGCCTGGCACAAGCTGACGTCTCGATGCTCGCGCTCGCTGCTTTGTGTGTCGGCAGAATCGTGCCAGAAACCCAAGGGCCGGGGCGTGCACACGTGGTGATGTTCTGCGCTGCCTAGTCGGCAACACTCTCGCCCAGCTTTCGCGCCGCATTTCCAGCGTGTCGTTTGCCGCACCAGTTTGGGCTCAAGGCGCGAGGGGGGACTGAAGGCTCCGTGCCGCCACCGAGATTGACCCGCGGGCAACAGCCCTTCTTGTGAATGCTGTGGGTGCCTTCGACCATGTTTCCCTCAAGCAAAGCTGGTGCATTTTTGCTCCGCCACCCCGAGCTTCACATGTCGCTGCCCGATGCTCGCCAATGCTTCGAAACCCCGCAGCACCTACTCGTGGGATCTCGTGGGTCGAGCAAGGTCGGAGTCGTGATATTGTCCCTTCTCATGCCGGCACTATGTGCCCTTGCCCAGCAGCCTGCCTTACACGATACTCCGGATCAACTGCGAGACGGCGAGGCTGTCCCTGCTACGAACAAATTCAAGAAAGCAGAGCGGTGCACAATGAAACGTGAAACTCGAAGACTCTTTCGCATCTTGCGCCGGCAAGCTGATGGACAGCAACGACCTTCTGGTGTTGCATCTTGCATAAGCTGGCTGATGTGCTAAGCAATTCAAGTTGGAGCCTCGGAACTTGTCTAGCCCGCGCAAGCCCCCTCGAACGTGCCGCTTGCCAATGTAGCCCCGTGGGATCTTAGTCAACTTCGACATGCAGGTCGATAACAGGGTCGTCGCAAACAACCGTCCGATTTGGCAAAGCTCTCAGAACCTGACAGTCACCACGATCGAACGCCTCCCGAGGCGCGACAGCGAGTTCGGAGCACACAGGTACGGACTGCTCGGGTTGCGCGTTTCACTTGCCGTCGCTCGATGGCAGAGACGACCGCACCTGCACAGGGTCGGTGACAGGCATGCTTGTCCCGCGGCTGCCAGATTCTGGGGTCCAGCGCGGTGTGGACGTCATGACTTTTTGGAGGGCCGGTCTGCGATGGTTTCACTTTTGACTGTGTCTCACGGTCGTTCAAGGACATCTCTCTGTACCCCGTAGCTATGCAAGAGATTCGTGCACTGAACCACACCATTGGCGATTGCCGTGGATGGCAAAAATTGTCTGGGCTCATTGTAGCCAGCATTGTAGCATGCCGCAAGGCGTCACACCAATGATTTCTCCAACGAAGAAACATTCGTCACCACGGGTCGAAGTAAGTTGCTGTTCATCTTAATGCGTTAACGCTTGAAAAAATGGCGACGTGGGCTCTGAGGCCTGCAGCCGTTTTAGTATTGACGTGGGCAATGCTTTGTCAATGGGCGCGTGATTTCACTGCCAGACGATGCGCATCCCACATGATGAAGTCTACAGGACGAAGGCGAGTCGTTTGCGTCGTGCATCACAAACTATGTCGTGCATCACAAACTATCGGTGGTAATACTAAGTTCAACAACCAAACAGGTTG